AAATTGATAGAAATGAGCCTTACACACGGTAAAGTATTACTTTTATTTAATTAATGCCGATATTCGTAGTCGATTCTTTTTTTAAGACCATATTAAGTAGTCTCTTAAGATGCTTTTTGATTGGTTCATGACATCTTATGATTGTACTTAAAACGATCTTAAATATAAGATCTGACTATGAATATAGGCTGAGGGAAATCTGAATCTCTATTAAGTTGATAGATTTTAGTTGTTAGTGATTTCAGCGATTTATTTCCATCAGGAGCACTGCAAAAAATATAACAGATATTTTTGTGTAGTTTACATCCACTTCTTCAGTGAGCAGTAGTGCGCGGGAGCATTTTTGCGGTTACAGGAAAAATGTCCTCATGTATCGTTTAAGATTTCTCTTTGCCATAAGTATAATATAAAAACATATCATCAAATTACAAAATTTATTAGCAGAAAAATAAAATTTTTATCCATATTTTTCATAAAATAAAATGAAAATATATAAAGGAGATCCTATTTTATATACATTATAAGCCGGATTCAAGCAAGCAAGCGAGCATAAACGATATATTTTAACATTATTCATTTGTATTTGTTCATGCTTGTTTTGTTCAATGTGAATTTAGTTTAATAATTTCCAATTAAATTTATTTCTTTAATATATGATAATATATTTTAATCGATCAAGCTATTGCATCATTTGTAGCAAAAAAAATCCTTCTTCCATGAAGAAGATGTTGTGATCTATAATTTCCTACTATATGGTCCCATTTATGATTGTAAAGGCTTCTGAATGCTTCGATCTATGATCAATGTAAATTATCACATTATATACTTTAATATTTAAAACTGTAAATAATTTTTTTAATTTAAATTAATACACATATGCTTTTAATATACCTGATTAGCGGATATTTTTATAGCATTTGGCACGATTATCCAAGTGACACATTCATTATATGGAGGGAAAGTAAGAGAACCTGTATAAGTGTAATATCCAGAATAAGTGCATGCGTACATCATCCAACGTAAACAATCTGTTAATAAGCACATGATTAATTAAAAAATGTTAATATTGTAAACAAAGTCTACTTAATAAAAGCTATCAAAGAAATAAAAGAATTATCGAATATTATAAAAATAATACATGTATATTCTAAAACAATTTAAAGTATATTTTAAAATAAAGTTGTATAATTTTTAGAAAATTGCTCTCAATGTTTACTACAATGAAAAGAAAAAAAAGGAAACACTAACATTAACAATTATATGATCTATTCTGTGTGATTAGAGTTTAATAAATATTATATTAAAAATAATATTTAATATATTATATTAAATATTATATTTAAAAAAAGATCATTTCATATTATGTAATTACCTGGAGTAATATTTACGGTGCTATTCGTTCGTTTTATTTCTGGGAGTTTATGAGTGATTAGGGCAAGCTCAGGATTGTCTGGAATTCCAGGACAACCAACAACCTTTTTATCACAATTAAATGTTATAATTAAATTGCAATAAGATATAACAAAATGTTATTCTAAAAATAAAACTTTATCACATAAGATGATTTTGACAGGTCGGATTTTAATTAATTGTCGGCCATTGTACCTGCATAAGATAGGAGAGTATTGAAATTCCATCAGATTTTTCATAACACTTATCTATCGATCCATAACGCGTATTCCAATGCATGACTTGCGCCTCCATCGAATACCTTGATAAATACTGTCATTTTGACGTTGCATTGATCCCATAATTATGACAACAAATTCGTGATTTATTTAAAATAAAATATAAATTTAATTTAAATTTAAATTTAAATTAAATGAAAAATATTAATATATTTTCCACACATAGTTAATAATTTTTAATATCAAATTCATATCTCTAACCAAATGTTGTCGATAGAATGTTCCGCGCCTCGACAATCGGATGGGCCCCATCGGAATTGTACATTCATAAATTGATATTCATCATCCTTCAATGGGCCGCCACGCATTGTCGGCAATCTCCTATTCGCCAATTCGATGTTAACTAAAAATTATTAAACAATAAATATGCGTAATGTATTGTTCAGAATTTATATTGAATGAGAAGAACCTGTTTTTCCAGTGTTTGCAAGTATCGCTGTGCCACTTTTTGACCAATAATTTGTCAAAAGTAATGGGGGATATTTTTTTTTCCATACTGCAACGCGACTGATATCGATCGGAGATTGCCGCCATTTCGGAAGACCCGAAGATGATGTCGTGCATAATTTTTGTTCTTGTGTAGAACGCATTTAAAAATAAAAGTTATTACATAAATATAATAAGGACATTTTTATATAGCTATTAAACAATATCTATAACACATTTTTTATCTATAAAACATTATTAAGATTAAAATTTTTATTTACGTAATTGAACATTCTTAGATTTGGATGTCATCTGTACATCACGGTGAAATACATCGAGCTTTTAAACAGAAGGAAATCTAAAATTAAATTTTCATCTCTTTTAAACGCGACATGTTATTTTTGAAATATTGGTACTAATATCGTAACTATTTTGATGACTATTTTGATTATTGGAAATAAATTCTGAGTAACTGCATGGCGTAATCATGCAATGAAATAAGTAATTGTCAGTTTAAAGATTGTTTAAAGGCAAGAAGTTAGTGGTATTACTAACCATGAAGTTACTAATACATCGTAATCTTTGAATTATTTTCACATCACTTCATACTATGCCTCACATTATTTTTATAAATTGAAGTAAGCTTTATATATCAATTTTTCTAAAAATTATTTGACGGTAATAATTATTTTACATTTTACATTATATTTCGTACTTTTCTAAATATTTTTGATAGTAATTAATGCGGAATGAAACATCGGACAAATTGTGAAGTATACCGCTCGTTTAAAAATTTATTACGTCGGAAATACCGCACGTGGATTTTAACACCGAGCTTTTGTAGTACAAATGTTAGGGAAGCTTTAATATAAAAATGTTGGGTTTTTCGTTAGTAGAATGTATGGTTGCATGCAGTAGTGTCCTACTTATGGGTACGTATCTCAGAAAAATAAAAAGCAATGATTTAATTATAAAATAATAATAACCTCTACAGAAAGAGAGTTTTATGATAAAATTATTTTCTAATATTGTAATCATCAATTTGAGATTTTATTTTTAAAATAACTGAAATATTTTTTTAATATTAAATTTCTTTCGTTAGTGTTACTATTAACTGAAATTTTGGAATGGACGCAGTTATTTGCATGGATGGAAAACGATTACCATCCACCCTCTTTTTCGTTTGGCTATGCTGCTTATCAGAATGGTCCTCATACATGGAAAGATCTATATCCTGAGAGCACTGGTAGCAATCAATCGCCTATTAATATCATAACTAGACTCGCTGTAGTAATGCAACCATCTGAGCCACTTCGATGGAGCAATTATAATAGCGGACCTCTGTCGATGACTATTGCAAATGATGGTCATACCGGTAAATTTTCTACAAGCAAGTTAAAGTATACTTAATGATATAGGGTTAATATTATCGGAGTATTATGTTAATATACAGTAATACTCCGAGGATTCTGGACTAGTACCACATGGCCGCAACTCCATGGGGGACCTTTGACCGATACGTATGATTTTTTTAATGTTATGTTTCACTGGGGTCCATCAAACGAAGAGGGTAGTGAACATACCTTAGACTATGTCCGTTTTCCTATGGAACTACAAATTATTCATGTAAAACGTGGAATTAAATCACCAACAGATGCGATCGCGCTTGGAGCAAAAGACGGAATAGCAATTACTTCGTTCTTCCTTCAAGTACACTTTTTGTTAACAAATAAATCACAAAGTTTATCACAAGTATTAAGAAATTAAATCAGTAAAATATACTGTACTATATTCGTTATAATTATCCTTTCTTATCATGATACATCTGACGATGACGCAGATAAATGACACAGATAATCCTTATTTGGATCATATCATAAGCAATTTGTGGCGTATTACCTGTCCGGGATCTATAGTCTACATACCTCCTTTTCCATTAGAATGGATTTTCGCGCCTTTTGATAGAGATTATTATACATATAGCGGTTCTCTTAGCCAGCCACCTTGTAGTGAAATTGTCACATGGATCGTACAGCAAGAACCAATCGCTATTTCCTCATCTCAAGTAAAATCATACATTACTAAAATATTTTGTAGCTTTTTATCGTATAATATAATTTACAGATAGAGAAATTTCGAAAACTTTGTTCAGTAGAGGGCCCATTACTTTTGAATTGTCGACCAGTTCAATCATTGAACGACCGTGATGTTTATTTTTATGAAGAAAGCTTATCGCGTAATTATTAATTATTAATTTCGATATGATTTATATCAAATTAATAGATTTATTCGATATGATGATACTGTTATATTTAAGCGAATACAATTTATAAAATTAACGTTAAGAATGTATGTTTACAATAATGCAGCTGATTCTGTAAATAGATATAATTTTGAAAATTTTAGAGGTAATAAAATATAAATTTGTGAGAATATAAAATAAATAACAAATTTTTACACATAGAACAACATTTTTATTAAGTTGCGTTCTATAAACGCAGGACATTTCGTTTTGCCAAGTATTTTGAGAAAATAAAAACATATTAAAAGTCACTCATTGTATAATAAACTCTTTTGGCACAAGTTGTAATAATATATTCTTCGAAAATTAGTGTCGGAGAGAGGAAAGTATTTCCTTAAAGAATATATATGACGCATTTTTTTACACCAATATATGTATATAATATATATATATATATATGTATATATGTATATGTGCATCATCCATTTTGAAATGGACAAATGTCTATAAAGATCTAACATACACGTTCATTAGGAGAAGCTGGGATTGATCAAAACTTGTAATTTTTTTTCAAGTTTCGAAACACAGAGATTATTTTGGCACTATCTTGAACATATTATTAGGCTAAGTAGAAATATATATACGTAAAAATTTAATGATACTTTACTAAGTAAATGAAATTTTGTAATTTTTCTTTAAATCGATTTACAGCTAAGAATCTAGGCTAGTTAAACGTACTTTGAAAACTTATCAAGTTCAGTCAAAGTAGATTAGCATCATATGATTGTAACGCGTTTTTTATTGAACTACTAACATCGTTTAACAGTCTGTTAATAGAATACATCAATCAGCCTCAGTCTCCCCTAAATATACTCACATAAATTTCTTATTTGTTAAAAATTATGATATTTCTTCAAAAATTCATATACAACTTTGTGCGAAAAATCATTTTGTATCTCAAATTAGGTAAATTTTCCACAAAAAAAGAAAACAACTCGAAAGTTTTCACGCACACAGCGCATATATCCATCCTTTTTTCTTGGCAAATGTATTTACAAGACGATAGAACGCCATGGATAACAATTCACGTTGCTAGCCAAACTCCCCCGATGGTCGTCATGAGGTACTAACACTAGCGATAATATCGCTATTTATTAGTATTAGTTAGATTGAACACGACACAGATGCATACAGTTGTATGTACAGCAGGATGTATTTTGGTCACATTATTGCTGGATGGCAGCAAAACGCGCACAGAAATGGAAATCGATCTAAATTTAAGCGTAGCACTTATTGTTATTTCGATTCGAAGTTCTCAATGAACAGACACCTTGTGGAATAGAACAAATATTTAGATTATTTTCTTCCCCGCAATATTTCTTAGCTGCAAATCCCGATTAATGTCCTAACTCACATAACCGAAACGAATTTCGGCAATCTTCCAAGTAGCAATACCGAAGATATAAAATAAATATGTTTCTTCTCCCAAAGTTGTCAATGTAAAGATTGGACGTGCCACGACATTCTCTTTACTTCATTGAGACTACGAATCCTGGATCATTCTTCCTGCATATCTCTTATCGTTCGGCAGAGGAAAGCAGACGTTATTATCCCGAACGTCTGAAATGCATTTTGATTATTTCTTTTTTACAAAATATAAGAACAAAGAAAGGATTTAATTTAAGAAAAAATATTTAATAAATCTATTCTATTATTTATAATCAGTTATAATCAATTTGAAAAAAAATGCAAAAAGTTCTTTCTCTTTTAAATAAAGAAGAGTAATTACTATAATTTTGAGAACGTTTTATAAAGTTTGAAGATCAAAAGCACTTTCTCAAATAAAATCTTGTTACAAAATATTGAAGACACGAAACTATTAAGAAAATATTTGATAAGTCTGTTCTATTATTTATAATTCATTACAATCTCTATTTCAAAAAGACACAAAAAATTCCTTAAAATAAAGAACAGTAATTTATTGTAAAATACAACTCTTATAAGAATGTTTTATAAAATGTGAAAAGTCAAAGGCACTTTCTTAAATAAAATTACACTATAAAAAACAAAATGTTAATTTTAACTTAAAGATGTATAGTGGAGAGACTTTCTGAGACATGCAAAGATGTTAAAATTAACACAAAAATGTTAATTTTTGCATGTTTTAGAAAGTCCACTATAATATTAAAATTAACATTTTATTTTTTATAGTGTACGACTCTTTGATTTTACGTTTCTTCAAAATTGTTTCTTCCAAGAGTTTGCAAAAAATAATAAAAAGATTTACCTGTATTCCTGCCATTGCCATACCGAGGAATACTAATGTGAAGCTCTCGCACTGCAGCCAGTTCGTGACTTTTCCAAGACAGCCCTGAGAAAATGCGTTGTTCATTTGAAATATGCAGCACTGTAACATGCAACGGGGCATGATGCTTCGCGGCATGATGCGTACTTACCTCTTTGTGCCTATATCCCTCGTGACCCTCTTCGTCTTCTACTTGACATGCAGCCTCATCCTTAGGCTGCGGATGCAGCCATGGCTTCTCGTTCAGCTGCCAGCGACAAAAGATTACTCACATAAAATTCATACATTCGCTTCGTCGCTGACATTTTACTCACATTTTTGTGAAACACTCTCGATACAACGCTCATTGGGCTGCTGCCTGTATTTTTATTCTGTAAAACAGAAGCTCTCGCTTTTACTGACTAATCGTGGATCTTAACTAGACATTTAAGATAAAGAACAGTTTAAAAAGAGATGAATCAGAAGATTAAATTATTCATAAAACAATCAAATATTAAAATATACATTATGCACAACTTATATGGTTTTCAAAAGAGATCTCTAAATATCAATATTACACACTATGTATGAATTTATATATTTTATTATTTCGCTTTAAAGAGCTCTCTTTTATAAACTCTCTCAACTTTCAGAAATTCAATATCCATATATGTTGTTTTAAAATCAATCAATTCAAACATGTGTACCTCGCTATTTTTGAGAACACAACACGTGAGGGGAACCTGCCTCTTGTTTCCCGAGATTTGACCATCCCTCCACCAAGCAGTGCCATTGTAATCGTCATCGCCGTATATACCGCAGCAATTAAACTGCAATGGAATCATCCATGTGCTCTTCGAACCATCGCGAAATGTCTCATCGGGCAGACGATTTCTGACAAAGCATCGCATGCGACCCCATCATGCATGAAACATAATTTACGTGCGTATTTGGGCGCGTAATACATGCTGCAGGGAAAATGAGACGAAATAATTTTAAATATAACATTTTAAATAGAAAAAGAAAAAAATTTTTCGTATCATTTCGCTAAAGTGTCGTGCACAGATACAATTACGATGTGCTGCGATCTGGAAAGCACGTATCCGCGAACTTGACATCTCAAGTAAAACGTATAAAACGTATAAAACGTATAAAAATTCATAATTAATATTGACAGTTGAAAAATTATACGCAAGACGGATTGAACAAAATATATCACAATTAAAAAAAAGATTATATAACAAAAATAAGCGATTTTTTTTAATGACAAGACATGCCATAAAGACCAATGAGCAGTCAAACGAGCAGCTCTGTTGGTACGACACCTTATACTGCGCAAAGTCCAAACTGTGGCTGAAGGGAAGATCGCTGGTCGAGTCATGACCATATTCCATGCTTAGTTTATTGGAGAGCCTTTCCTCCAGATCCGATAGGATCTGGAAAGTCATCAACCCGCCGATTGCGGCCGTCACCAATTCCGTGATGATAAGCGCGATCAACATGCTCATGTACTGTGGAAAAACAATCACCGATATAAAAACATCACCGACCCTGACCCGACGTCTATAATGGTACGCGCGCCCCCAAGGGGCGGAGGTAATAAAAATGTCGTTTCACTCACGGTGGCGAGGATGCATTGATTTCCGCGTAGCGCGGCGCGGCAACCGAAGAAGCCGACCGTGAGTACGATGAAGCCAAGCCCGAGGAGGCTGTAAGCTATCAGATTGATAGTCTCGTGCGGCTTAATATCAGATACGAAAAGATTCAGGATGTGTCCTTTGCTGGGCTCCAGAAGTAACCACGCGCCTATAACGAGCACCGTACAGCCAGCCAACTGCCGAAAGGAAAAGGCAATGAATTTACGATTGTTTCTTTATCGCGACCAGCGAGAGTAATTCTATATCCCTCAGGGGACTATACTTTTCTGAACATCGCGTAAATTTAAGCGACGTGACTCTTAAAATAATTCTCTCTGCTTTGCTCCAGAAGTAGAATCAGAATTTAATTTAACCGAGAACAATACAAAGTATGAAAAATGATTGTTTTGCTCTAAAGTACAGAATTACGCCATAATTATTTATAGTTTGAGCATCTGCGTCTAAGTGCTCGTGGCACGTGTTGCTATTTCTAAACTTAATTTATATTTTATAATGTTACAAAATGTGCATGCATGTTATTTACCCATATTAATAGATTGAACGTGAATAATGCGACTTTTAAGTATTTCATGTCTGTTATCCTTGATTTTCCAATTAGTCATCAATCTGCAAATATAACAGAGCGACCTGTTGTAAGCTCAAATATAAGATGGAACGTAATAGAATGTAATAGAATTTGTTATATAAATTTTAAACTCGTTAATTCCTCTTTAATTAAGCATTTAATATACAATATTTATAATAAATATAAATATAAATGCAATGTTTTATTTCATGTTTGCTTTGCAACTGTTTTCAACAAAATAATGATAATAATTGCATTTAAATGTCGAATTTAATTAAAGTAAGTATATATACTTTTTAATAATATTGAAAAAATGTTAAATGTTAAATTTAATTAAAGTGAGAGAGTTACATATATATTTTATAATAATATACTTAAAAAATGTTTTAATTAAAATACTCAAATATTTTTCTTTTTCTATCTTGATAAACATGAAAAAAACATGGTAGATTATTTTTTTTTATTTAAAAATTTTATTTTATTTTTTACTATATGTTTAAAAATATTATATAAAAAACGTCTTTTCAATTATTTCTGATTGCTTTCAAAATAACATTGAACGGATAAAATTTTGAAAAGTTTATGACTCTGAAATTTAAATATTAGCAGAAGTGGAAAAATATAGGATAATTAAATTAGGATAACTTTTTCTTTTAGAAATCCGTCGGAAAGAAAATTAACGAGAACTTTTTATTTATGTAAGTGTTATATATGTATTTTCTTAATTCTTTAATTTCAGAAATTCCGTGTCAAACACAATTTAGAATTCTTTATCTTTATTATTTAAACTTTATTTATTTAAACTCTTTATCTAAATTCTTTAGCTATTTTTACACAACTGTATTACATTTATTTATTCATTAAACATAAACGAACAATTTATCAAAACACTATTCTAATTTAGTATTATGTATCCAAGTATTATTTACCTATCACGAACGAATTAGCTCACTCTTCTTGATTACAATGTCTATCACTTTGCTATCTATGCTTTTGATGTTCACCAATGTAACTGTTATTACACAATTACACAATTACAATCTTGTTTATCTTACAAATAACATTACACTGTAGTGTTGAAATCACAAAAGCGGATGCACGTTCCGTAATCGTCAAAGATCATCCTTGTCTTGGCGTTTCCGATTCGGTTCACAGGTGGTTCGCGATCCCTTTATGATACGTCATCTCTGTTCGATCGTTTGGACGCTCCGAATTTGCGCGGCCCGAGCTGTTGGCGTCGCGAATGGGAGAACGGACCCGCCTGTTACTTGTCGATACGCTGGAGGATCGATGAAATGCCTCCGGTACTTATTAGCGTAACGCGCGGACACAGTAATTGTCTATCTCGTGTGATTACAAGCAATTTCTCGCGTGTTGATCCAGACAGGAGAACCGCGATCGAGTGTGTCGTTACCACCGCGGGCAGCCTGAACGTACGTTACCTGGCAAAACGAACGAATCTGCCTCCGGATCCCGCTTTCGCCTCTAGTTTCTCGTTTCTACGTCACCGACGCCGGTTCAGATGCGTCTGCGTGCTCCCACCGTCGCGGCGCCGACGCTCTATCGTCGGGCACGGTTGAAACCCGCCCGTTACCCAGAACGATCCCGTTGACGGTTTCGTACCTCATCGACACACTTACAATTCCCACCTACGAGTGTGAGTGTGAGATCTAAGGCAGCTCCAAGTATAATTTCCCACGTTCTAATTAAAATGTTTTAGCTATTCTAATTAAAGACTTGCATATGTAGAGCATTATTCCGACTGCATTATAACTGTTCCTCTTTTCATCATAAAGTCTGTCTGAAACTGTCGAAAGTATAGCGGGCTACGTGATTTTAGAACGAACTTTGAAATGAATTTTCGCATGGAAAGGTGTATCGCGTGTCAGCAACTCTGCGTGTAATGTATTAAAAATACTATCGAGACGATAAAGTTAGCTACGCAATAACTTTACAAGGGCGTAGTAATTTTACATCCCATTTAACACAGACCTCCAAGAGAAGCCTTAAAGACGTTTCTATGTCCTCTGGATGTTCTAAGGACATTTCCAGGATATTTCTTAAATAAAACCAAGGAATAATATAAAATCAGCCAACATAGTTAGACGTGTGTAAATTCATATATTTCATTCTTGCAAAAAATTACAATCGTTTCAACTCTTTCAATTGGGTTTTTATTAGTGTAATGATAACAAAATCCGTACATATAAAAAGATGTAATACAGAGAAATTGGATTATCGTTAACATGTATTCATGATATGATTATAATGCTGTCTGTCCTATCTAACAAAATACTCAAATCATACATTTCAAATTATCTATAATTTAACAAAGATTACGAAAAAGTTAATTATGTTAAAATCATAGGTCAATCAGTTTAAAAAAAAACTTACATAATAATGTTAACGATGATCTGTTAAATAAGACATGTTAGATATCTTAAATAAAGTATGCTGTATGAGATAATATATTCCACACGTTCCTTTCAAAGACTTGATTTATTGTACGAAAATGCAAAACATATTACGTGAGAATCAGACAAAGTTGCTTCAGCTGTGTGAAAACTTGAATAAACTAGAAATAACGTTTACGTAATAATTCGGCAGAACGGTCGTGTGTTCTCGACGAAAGAACATTTTTGTGGAGCGTTGGTATTGTAAACAAAAACTCCATCATTATGTAAATATAATAAATTTATTATTAGGTATTAACAATTTTTTACAGAATTCGCGCTTAAATATTATACAACTATACGAGTAAAGGTATCAACGCTATAATCGGAGAACACGTGTAACACGTACATACACGTACATACAGTGATTTCTTTTTGTCTCTTTCAGTATAAAACGCAGCTTATAAATTGCACGGCAGTGGACGCCTACTTTATACGACTAGAGATATACATTCAATCAAGTCGTATCATATACGCAATTCATCTCAACGTCACGTTGGGCTTCACCCAACTCCCAACATCTTCCCGCGGATCTGTCGACAAAGTCTTTCAGTCCACAAAGTCTGACCACGGATAGCGTGGTCGAAAACTGCAAAAGGAAATGGACAATTACGCGTGCCTAATTAAGTACGCTCTCCATTTACATCGTCACGGTGTCGATGACGCGTTCTCCGCATGGCAGTCATTAATTACCGCTGATGCGGTCGTGTGAACAAGAGGCGAACAAGTCGCGGTGGAAACGCGCAACAACTGCCATGAAACTTCATCGGTATTCCTGCGATCACGTACAAACAGTATGCACCACCGTCATCGCCTCGGTTAATTGTGATTACAATAGAATGACATGAGCAAACATGCGATCGTATAAATAAAAAAAAGTATTATATAATACACAACGTGATCGAGATCGATCATTTACAAGGTCGCACGAGCCGACGGGACTCGCGCAGAGACATTCACAAGTATTACACGCCGTTCGTACAATATAACAAGTATAGCTTCGTCCTCGAAACTTAAGTCTACAACTTGAATCGTAGTGGTATTCTCTCTCTCTCTCTCTCTCTCTCTCTCTCTCTCTCTCTTTCTATGATTAAAATGTACATTTATGCATCACACAACTGATGAGAGTCCACACACAAGTGAAATATGAAAAATTATTTAATTAATTTTCTGAAATTAATCGAGACTCAGTTATTGCACGGCAACTATTTCATATCTGTGTATACAATCGCGTAATGGCTTGCGATAATTAATTCGAGGCGCTGCGATTATTCGTAATCTTGCAATTTGTTAGCAAAAGCTCTATCGGCTTCAACGTGAAAACGCGATGCTTGAATTGAAAATAAATCGCGCGGAATATCGGCTGGCTCTAAAGAATATCCGCGCTCTCTTTCACAGTCGCCTTTTACGCGTGCGATATTTTCACGGCCTCGTTCCGCCGTCGTTCCGTCGTATCTGAAACGCTATACACTGTTCTTTTATGGATATCACATACGGAACAACTCGTTCAGAATATGTGTCCCACCGGGAATTCCGCGGCTGCATTGCGCGCGCTGAATCAGCACAGCAGGTACACATTCAGAAGATGACATATGAAAGGAAGAACATATAGATACAAAGTCATTCAACTATTTATAAGCTTTCATATGCTCTTCGTATGGCTCTTTAATGTTGCTTAACGCGTCAGGAAAAAAATGCTACGTAGCGTCAAGAATTCTTCTCGTCATCATATTTCATGCATCTGTCAAAATTAAATGCAAAAAGAGTTACATCCGCTCGTTGCGAAGGATAGGTGAATATTGATTTTACATATGTCGTAAATGCGAGAAAATATTCGTTGATAGGATTTTTACGCGTGGGATTTGAAATTTTTTAACGCTTAAATCTTATCATTGATCTTATCATTGAACTTTGATGTGAAAAAAATGTTGTATCCATCACAGTTGTTCATCTTATCGTGTATACAAAGTAAATGTATACCAAAGTAAAAATTACAGGATGCTGTAAGTTATATCATTATGAGATTATATCTCAATCTTTCTTTTTCGCGTATAATTCGGTGGCAGTCTTTAAAGTAACATTCGCACATCGTCTCTCGGAGTAAGACTTACAATTCTGTCGTGGTTTCCACGGGACTTTGCTCGCCCAGATACGTGAATCCGAGATGCGAATAATCCTTCCTCTCCCTGAAGGTAACATTGTCGTTGGACGGACTAGGGCTCAGCAGATCACCGCCGTGATTGTACAAGGGATTAAGTACCGGTGTCGCGTCGCGATTGTTGAGGGTATTCGTGTTGCTCGCACTGTGATTCTTTCGGCCCAGTGTGGACCGTCGTAGGGAATGAATATTGGTATCGCCGTGATTGCCGACAATACTGGATGCTCGTGCCGTGGTCGCTGCTTCGGAACTAACGGGGCTTTGTTGGCCTTAAAGCAGAACACATAAGCTCATTATACATTCTCGGATATCCACTACAAACTAGTATTATTTAAAAAGTATTTAATTATTACATTAATCCTCTGATGAATGAAATAACTTTAGTTTAAGGAAAATTACACTGTAAAAAATAAAATGTTAATTTTAAGTTAAAAATGTATAGTGGATTTTCTGAGACATGCAAAAATGTTAAAATTAACATTTTTGTGTTAATTTTTACATTTTTGTGTATCTCAGAATTAAACGTCTTCAAATTAAAATCAATATTTCATTTTTTATAGTGTAATGTTAATAGAAATTATGAAGATAAATATGTTTTTAGTTTTCATTTTGTAATTGATTGAATAATAACATGGAATGGGATATAAATATAGAATACTTTAATTCTCTAATCTTCATCTACATATTTTTTGAAAAATGCAGCTTGCATTAAGTATGCAAATATTATATCGTCTGCGAATTACCGGTACTGTCTCCATGATCTTTGGTGATGTAGCTGACATTGTCCAGACTAAACGCATGATTTTTATTGCTGAAATCCAATTGTAAGTCGTTGCAGCTATCGTTGTCGTCAACCGGCACGCTCATCTGAAGCACTTGCGTCTCGTATTCCTTCAAATTGGGTTCCACATAAACGGGATCGTATCGTGGCACCACATACATGCGCTGCATACGTTCCTTATACGCTTTATACCTACATAACATTTTCACGATGAGAATTTCTCGGTGAGCTTTAAATTCTTCATCGCGGAAGTAAACATTCTGGAAGGACTAATTTTATCGCGATCACAATGTCGAAGTAATAAGTTGCGGAGATATTTAAAGCGGAAAGCACAATTAAAGCTAATGGAGGTAATGAAGAACGGTATAAATTTGCATGGCTCGTACTTGATGTCAAATGAATATTCACACTCATGAAACAACTTCTCTCAACGATTGTAATAACAACTAAAACGGTAATAACAGTTGTGATGTTCTATAATATTTCAGTATTTGTATGCAACAATTTTTATTAAAACAATATATGCAAAAATGTCATAAAAATCTACTAGCTTAAGTTTGCAAGCCAACATAAATTTAAATTTTTTTAAATGTCGTCTGTATATTATATTTAATTACATCTACGCAAGTTTATTTTTATCCGTAATGAATTTACCGTGTACATGAAAAAAATTATGTCGTATTATTAGCAGTAATTTAATTAAAAACAATATTGTTAATTCAATGAAACAAATACATCACGTTTTATTAAAATATTATTTGTTTCATAAAAATACCATTATCTATTAAATAAACAAAAATAACAAGATTTTCAATTAGAATACTGCTGACCAATGCTGTTAATATAACATCGTTTTTTCTGTGTATAAGTTTAATTTAAATTGTTTATTACTATAATCTATAATAAACCGTAATATCGCGTGTTGCATCTTAGCTTCCTCATTAATTATCTTTTTATAAATGTATTTGTCGATTTATTTTAACTCGCGCAGTATTAAAAGGTTTCAGCATTAAAATCAGAGCACTTACTTGGACCAGGAGACGCATATGTATATGATACCGGCAATGCCGAGGATCAAAATCACGCACGCGATGATGATTAGCGCGTACGGGAATACCTCGCCGCTGAATGCGACCGCCGTTTGTGTTCGAACTGGCTCGGGTGGCATCACGGGTGCATGAATATCGATGGCATTTGCCCGCACTAACGTAGACACGTCAAAGGTGATATTTGACATGGCTGATTTATCCATGATAGATCTGTCGAACATTCGGCGCTTTTAATATTTGCCCATGTTTCGAGCAAATGTTACGTTAATCAAAAGTTATAATTGACCTTTCGATGCTCGCACAAAAAACGTGCCTTTTATTATCAAATCCGGAATAGTCGTTGAAATTCAATTTAATTTTTTATTAATTTAAGTTGCAATAAAGTTCAAATTTTGTTCAAAAAAAAAATTTATTAAGAGATTTCTAGCAATTTAAATATGCTGTATTTTCAAAGGATTTAAAATCGTAATCAAGAAGACAATTAGTTCACAAATTGTGTTAAAATAATATATATTTAAAAAGAGTTCTATTCAAATATTTAATTTAATCGATTATTATAATGTTATTAAAGAGAAAGTTTTAAAGCAATTTCTTGTTGCATTAATTCTGAAATATTTTAAATCAATTTAATAATATTCGATTTCATTTACAAAAGTAGATATCTAAAAGCACATTGCAACGTGAGCATTGCGGTAATTACGTAATACTCTTCCGCAAATAAATGTGAGACATCGTGGCTTTAGCGTATTTAATACAAAGATAGAGTTAAAGTAATATTATAATGAGTAATATTATAACTCAGAGTGCAAAACGTAATCTGCTCGTTAACATAAAATCCGATTAAATAATAATAATGTTAAATAAATTTGTTAACAAGATATTTATGGAATTTTTTTGTGTATTATTTTAAATTATTGTATCTTATAAAAATCAAATTTGAAATATTTATTTATTTATTTAAATATTGAACAATGTGCTTTTAATATTCAAATAAATAATCAATCACTTCCAATATTATATAAAGGGCGCATTTTAAGACTTACCTCTGTACTTTGGTACTGTTTCTATTTAATATAGCTTCGGTATCCGGATCGATCGCGTAGAACCATACATCGGAGTCCTGCGGGAACGTCTCGATAGTGCCATTCTTCGTTTCTGTTGAATTACGTTTGCTATTTTATCAGCTTCTTTTTGCAATACGTCCGGCGCCGCATCTTGCACCACAAGGATCATTAGGTTTTCTTCCCCGATAAGATTGACGATCACCGGCGCGATAATGGAATTGTAGTTGTCAATCGAGTTAGGATTGTCGCGCACGCGAACGTCGAATTTAAAGGGAAGCTCGGATGTATCCACGTGGTCGAACGTCGCCGTCGTCCTGATTATACCGGTGGAGCCGTCGATCGTGAAGTAATCGGAACCTCGCCCTTCCAGAATTTTGTACTCCAGCTTGCCGTACTTGCCATTATCTTTATCGATAGCCTTCACTTGTATGACAGTGGACGCGAATTGCGCGGTGCGCGGAATCGCCGCAAAATAACGTCCTCTCGTGAGCTTCTGACTCGCCTCCGGGAAAATAAACTCGGGCTTGTTATCATTTACATCCAGCACCTGGATCTTTACCTGCAATTTTATTAGAAAAAAATGAGAATTGATAATCTTGTTGCAACAGTCATCTCACATAAATTATAGTTTTTTATGTATTTCCCTTTTCTTACAGGAATATAAATTTTAATGCTTTAAAATTAAATTCTGCTAGATTAGACGAGATAGGAAAAGTTGTGGATTTATATCTTTTGTATTTAAAATTTCTTCATGTAAAATATTGGAAATTTTTGTTACGTAAAGATTTATAATTGAAGCAATAATACTGAAGTTACATCTGCAGGATAGATAATTAAGTTTTTATGTGTTCCATATTAATTATTTTATCTTTAGTATGTCTATTCATATTAATAGCTACATAATATTTTATTTGGATTGTAAAAATTCTTGTTTCACACAGAATAAAACACCGACAAGTTCTGTCGCGTTTCTCACCATCGTCGTATTTCTGCCTGAGTTTAAAAGGCCTGAAAGCGATTCCAGTTTGATCTTAATCTGGTAAGATTCCGTCGTCTCATAATCCAGGGCTCCTTTCTTCAGTCTCAGCGCGCAATTTCGCTCCTTCGTAACGTTCGCTTCGAACAGGCCTTCTTCATTGCCGCTATAAATCTCGCATCTGAGCGGCGTGGTGTTGTACGCGTGACTGTTGATGATAGTGATTATCTTTATTAGCGTGTTGTCGCCCGCGTCTTCGGGCACCTCGACGTTATACGAGTTCTCCGCGAAACCCAAACCGATCTCCGGCGGAACCGTCGCCACGTGACGTACGTAGACTGTCACAGTGGTCTCGGACGACAATGGTGGGTCTCCCATATCGTATGCTAGCACGTCGATCTGAGAAAAAAGAATTATCTCTAGCTATATAGATGTGCCAGATCGCGAGTGATGTCGAGCGGTGTCGAGTTATATACGAAGGATCAAATACCTGATACTCGGAATCAGTCTCCTTGCGCAAGTCATCTCGTACTCGGAGTACGCCGGTATCGGGATCGATTACGAAATACTTGCTGGCGATGCCGCGGCCAATGATATCATATCGAACCTACGGATACCATGTTCGGTGAAAATCTATCTCCTTGTTTATTCAACGGATAAGAAATAATTAAATACTGGAAAGAAGTCAATACACCAACCTGATTTCCCGGAGCGGTTCCATCGGAATCCGCAGCAACAAGATCAATTACGGTCGTTCCTATAGGGACGTCGTCGTCCAGCGTAATCGGACGTGGTACCGATGTAAATACCGGTGGAATGTCGTTCACATCCTGCCATGATACGTTTAAAACATTATTAATCCATCGAGTAAGAAAATACAGTTAAATTAAAAGTATTCGAAGTATGATAAATGATAGGGTGATCGTTGATTATGATATTAATGTGATCAACATAAACCGGTTCCGTTAAATTGATCCCATGGATTAATTCCCGTGACTGAGATAGGCAATTAATTCCCGTTTTAACATTTTAACTTTTAACTACAGATTATGCATTAATGCAGAAGAACTATGCATTAATGCAGGGGTATGTCAGGTACATATTTTATTTAATTATGAAATGTTAAATAAAATAGTTAAATTAAATTTGTATTTAATTATTTTATTTAATTATATATAAAATCTTCTAATCTCATTAATCATAAACGACAATTTATTTTACTAAAATAAAATCTTATTTAATTTCTTCTCAAATATGATAAATAAAAATCGATAGCAGTTTAAATTGGCTATATAATGTGATATTCTAAAAGGCATTCATGTGTAGTATATGATGCGCCAACGATAATAGTAAATCGATGATGGATATTGACAACTACCATAAATAAAGATTCAGACACTCATAAAAAATACCTGAACATTAATAACAACGCGGGTGGTGGAGCCAAGTAGATCGCTAGTGTTCTCCTCAGTGCCTATGATAAGTACGTGCTGGTTTTGGCTTTCGTAATCGAGACCGCGGATAGTTTTTATTACTCCAGTCTTCGAGTCTATGCTGAAGAGTTCGGTATCTCCTTGTTTGATCATGTACGTAATTTGCTTCTTTGTGTCCGGATCATCGGCCTAGAAGTAATCGCGTTAGCTTCAAAATCTGAATAAGACGGCCGTCCCAGGACGCACTATCCTTTCCACCTCGTCGACGGGATGGGAATCGTCGACGACGCGAGTAACACGAATGTCTCTCGAGTCGGAACGAGTGTACGTCTCGATTATCCAATGAACTTTTGAAACTTCTCGAGCGAATCTCGTCTTTCATCCTCGATGAAATTACATCCCTTATTATGATCCATTTCGGAACTGATTTCACACTCGGCATGTTACGCGAACAAGTCGAGATGCTTTATCTTAACGCGAACGTTTTGTATTGGAATCCACATTAAACGATCAACATCATCGCACAAGAGTCTCAATTTTCATTAAATTAAATTCTGCATCAACTGATGCGAATAGACGGATTAATCTCTTTTAATCGCACTTCTCTCGCTTTACACGTTTTTACCATTCGAGAACAGACGCTATTATGAATAGTATTACTGTGGTCTGACGTGCGACTCACCGTGACTTGAATTACATTATGGTCTGGCACGTTTTCCTTGACACGTGCCTCGTAACTGCTTTGGTGAAAGACCGGAACCTCGTCCTCGACATCTATGACTTTCACTGTGACTGTCGCAGTTGCCAAACGATAATCGGGGGCTCCATCCCTTGCAGTCACTACGAATTTGTATTCCTACGCAATTTATGCAAATATCATATTTTATTACACTCAACAAATGCAAAATTAGAAAAAAGATTTACCGACACAACACAGTTCTTCGAGTGACATCTTGAGGACATCTCTTGGAGAATTGTGTTGTGTGGAAATTTTATAATTTAATTCTGAAATTCAAGAGAATGTCATAATAAAATAAAAAGTTTTAATGTAATGCATAATCATATTCTCAAAACAATTTTAACGACAATTTTTACAACATGATTAATTAAAAGTTTTTATCACATTGCATGAAATTATCATCAGGTTTTTTTACACATGCATATCTATGAATGAAAATCATGTCGACTTTAATTCAGGTATGCAGTTTACCCATTTTCTTTATCTCAAGCGCATAATAACACAATTGCAATTTAACTGTGACGACATTCTCGCAATCCAAGTATAAGCTAAACTGTTTCGTTGTAATCCAACTTTCTTCTCAAGTTGTATTCGCAGTTTATAACTTTCATAGAACTGAAGACTATTCCTAGAATCCTAAAAAGTACAATAAACTCTTCTGCATTATTTGATGCAGCTTTTCACAAATTCATTCGGAAAGAAAAATTCATTAACAATTCAAAGTTCTCCAATATATTATCTCCAATAATCATTTAGCTCGAAATAGTCAAAATATCCCAAAATGATTTTCCCAATAAATCGAAGGATAAAAAGTATAAAAATACTTATGGATTTTCTAATTAACGTTATTAAAAATATAAGTTTTACATTAAAATAATGTGATATATTATTAATAATATAATATAATATACTATATTATTTTAATGTTATATTATTTTAATGTTTTTACATTAAAAGCTAAAAGAATAATGGAAATATCCTCACATCGTTCTGCTCGTAATCCAACACTATCTTCGTCAGAACATCGCCAGTCTCGGGATCCACGGTAAACGGAATATCGTCAGGTACGAAATAAGTGATTTCGGCATTTATACCTTCGTCGGCGTCTTCAGCATGCACGCGGCCAATTAATTTACGTGCTTCGTTCTCCTTGACGGTAAATTCATAAGGGAGACCCACGAATTCGGGATTCTTGTCGTTAATATCGGTAACCATAATATTGACCGTCGCAGTGCTATAGAGCCCACCGGTATCCTCAGCTTTTATCAACTACATAAACCAATAATATCACAGCATTACACTCTGTTTTTAATTTATTCCAATTTGACGAAACATGGATAATGACGACTTTCAACAATAAAAATACTTGGAGAGCATCAATCAATAAGATTTTATTTTTAATATATAATTCTTTTACGAGAAACTTTTTTCTTTAAGAAATTGAATGTAGCAGAAATTATATGCTATAAATATTAAAAATATAAATTCTATCTTTTTATTTAAAGTATGTAAACAGATTATATATGCTCAAAGTTAACAATATTGTTGTGCTTCGATTTCGTTACTTGTTTACACACAGAGAAAGAGACACACCGACTTCCTTAGATTAGATAAAAACTATCAGTAGAAAGTAAAGCAAGAAGTGCATTGGCTTGTAGTAAAGGGTGTAGGAAGTTCATGCTACGGTGTTTGACGATATCGACTTACCAATTGATACCGGGTCAGGTCCTCCCTATCCAACTTCCTTATAACGGTAATAACGCCTGATTTGTCGCCGATTGCAAACTGGCGCAAGTCATTTCCCGATACTATCGAGTACGACACCGGGTCGTTTTCTGGATCAGTGGCCTGTAACATTTATTGATAACGCTATATTATTATTACAACCATTTAAAGATTGTTTTAAAAAGAAAAAGACAATCCGGATCGATTTCATAGAATTCAAAGAAGAGAGATTTGCATTCTGATATAGAATAATTAATTACGAAACATGTTTTTATACAATCTGAAAAAACTAATATAAATAGAAGAATAAAGCATAAATCGAATGCTTCATCAACGCGATAGAAAGACGAAAGGAAAAAAAAAACAATAAAGTATATATCGAGCAAACGTGCTTCTGTCAGAGCAGAGTTGAAGCTTTAAAATAAAACGCCAACAAGAAGGACATCATATCAAGGATACTCACAGTGATAGTCGCAACTGTGGAATTGATGGAGGCTCCCTCGCTGACTTGCACCTCGTACACCGGTTGTTGGAACACGGGGCTTCTGGTGTTGGGCCCGGGAATGACGTTCACCTCGACGATTGTCTGCGAGTACTTGCCACCTTTGTCGGTGGCCTGCACTGTGATGCTGTACTGTTCGCCAGCGTTAAGTTTCCTCACGGACTCGATAACTCCGGTCTTTGGATCTATCTTGAATTTATGCAAGCCGTTGTTTGACACGTGATAAATACTGTACGTTATCTCGGCGTTTTCACCCTCGTCGTTGTCCGTGGCTTCCACCTGAGCGAGATCAGATTAAATTCTCTTAGAGTCTCGTATCTTTTTAAGCGCGAAAAAGAATTATGGAGCACTAACAAGCAATAAATTAATGACGATTTAGATAAGTACTAAAAAGTATCAAATATAAAAAAGTACGAATTACTCGCAATTATTATTATTATTCTCAAACATACAAAGTTGTTAATCAAGAAGCATAAAGAAACCACCTTCGCTATTTGTCTCTTCGTCTCTCCCGCTTGAACAGTGATGGGTGCCATCATCGGAAGCAGAGGCGCATTGTCATTAACATCGTTCAACGTTACGACAAACGATAGAGGTGAAGACGCAGCCACACCCGTTTTCTCCCGGGCGACAACCTGGAATCGAAAGCGGCCAGGACTCGGAGGATCTCGGTCCAAATTCTCCTCATTCACGACAAGAATGCCGGACGGATCGATCGCAAAGAAATTTGTAGTCAGTTCGAAAGTATACGCCGGTTTTGGATCGTCTGGTCCCTGGATATAGAAACGGATTTTTTTAATAAAAGGAAAAAGAAGCAGATGTAGACTTGAAATATACAGGTGACACGAATTTCACCAGCACAAGTCTCTCATCCTCTAATAATAGAGATAATTAAACGGTCAATTCGCATCTCGATTATGTTTTGTTAAACCGAAATTGATGGAATCTACGTGGCTACACTCACCAGATCAGCATCCGACACGGTGAGCACAATGGGATTCCCGCTTTTATCGATGACCTTTGTGCCGATCGGAGCATTCTCGTCGACGAAACCTTCGATGTTTGACGCCGTTATAACGGGTGGATTACTGTCGACCGGCTTGACGGTGATTGCTAATTTTGCGGTAGCAGACCGCTTTGTTTCCGACACTTCAACCGCCTTGAGAAAAGAAAAAAATGTCATTATTAGACATATTTAAAATTTTGGAAAAAAAAAAGTTTAAGTTACGCATATGACAAAGAATTTTGTATTATTTTTTTAAATGCAATTCTTTCGTAAAAAAAGTCGATTAATTAGGTTATTGAAAATTATTGAGAGCAACCGCACTCTAAAAAATATAGGTATACATTTAACACAATAGATGTTAAATATAATTCTCACTGAGTTGATGTTAACATAAACACCAAGAGTGTAAATTTAACACTATGTTAATGTTATATCATTTACATCATAGTGTTAAACCACATAGTGTTAATCCACATTTATGGTGTTGTGTGAATCCATTTTGGTTTTTATATCCAACACGATGAGAGTCACATAAACATCCACATAGTGTCAAATCCACATTCATATTTTTTAGAATGTACTTAGATTATCTACAACTATAAACAACGTTCTTTATAAATTTCCTTATATTTTTTCTTCTCTATTTATACAAAATTCATTCCAAATTATACCAAATTATTTAAACATTTTTTTTTACATAAAATATAATGTTGATATTTACCTTAATAATAATATCGAACTTCTTGGTTACCGTCGTGTCAACGGCTTTGACTTGTTTTACCGCTCCGGTATTAGGATTGATTTCAAAGAAATCCCGGTAATTCGGCGGATTTCCGCTGAGGAAAGAATAGTGAATCGGCGCGTTTATGCTGTCCATGTCGACCGCTTGTATTTTCTCAGGCGAGATATTGAGTATGCCAGATAGTACTCCGCTCGAAACCTGACGAAGAGAAAAATGAGAATCGCTCTTGCAGAACCGGTTGCACCGATTTATTGACTACGTGAATTTGAACAGTGAGATATTGACGGCCGATTAGGCAGACGTATTCGATTACACTTGAATTTTTCAATACTATTTTAAACAAAATAGCTGAGAAACGTTCGTTAAAATAATGCTTCGGTGTTGATACATGCTCGAAATTGGAGAATCGCAGTTTTTTTTTATAATTGCAATTTACGTACCGACGCGGAGTATTCCGGATTGATACAGGCGCCATCCAAAAGCATACAGCCTTGGTAAATAAAGGATGGATCTTGATCATCATCGTCCCGTATGTTCACCGTCAATGTGGTCGTGGATGTGAATCTTTCGGAGACGTTCCTCGCCCGATCCTGTAACCAAATAATTTGCAAAATAAAGCAACGAGGTAAATGTAAATTGACTTCCAAAGATTTCAACTGCAAGGAATTTGCATTTTGTATTTTTCGCATTTCGAAAAATTAATTGTGCAGGCTGTGCAACACGATCGAAATATGTTTGCAAATTTTCGTTATAATTGCATTTGTAAATTATTTATTTCATTTCATTATTATTTCATTTCATTACAACTACAGTAAAAGAATTTTTCATTTTCCTTGAATATTAATTAATGAAAAATAATATTTCCTCACTATTATTTATCTTTCTTTGTGAAATCTTGTATACTTCTGCAATTCATTTATTTTATCGTACTTTGTTTTTCCCGAGGTTTTTCCCATTTCTAACAATGAAAAATGCATCTAGAAGATGTTAATAAAAATATCTTCATTCATTCTTAAAGCTTATAAATAAAAACTTGAATGACGTATGAAAATCAACGGTAATAACGCGCCATTAATCTTACGATTTTGACGCGTCACGATCATATTGACATTTTCAATAGTTGCCACGTGCACGAAAGGAACAAACATCTATTTTTTTATTTCTTATCCACACACACATACACACACATCACGATCCAGTACCAGTTCTACCGTCGAGTCGCCCCGGGAGAAACTTGGTCTCTTTCTTCTTGTCTTCCGTTCTCTTCGGTGACCCTATTTATGCAATAACGGACCAGGACCACTTAAGAGGCGCTCTAAATAAGGGTAACCCGTTATTGTAACTTTTATTACGCCAGAAGGATCGTAGAAAAGCTTCCGAAAGTATCACATAAAATATATACATCTTAAAACGCATATTGCAACATATATGCTACAAATTACAACACAGTTGGCTGAAAAAATGCATACATTGCCTTTCGCGGTATGCAGATCTCATAAATCTCATCTTTTAATAAAACCTCACATTATTCGTTATTCCTCATTTAAGCACATTGAGGAAATGAGTTTTACAACAAAGTCTACTTTAAAATTTCATCAAAAGTTTTTGTATATAAAAGAAGCAAGGAAGGCGAAATGAGCCGAAAAATATTTCACTATTATATCAGATTCATGTATAAGTTTATATCTACATGATATTTCTTTAACATTTTCCACAAGTCGACGCGTAACGTAAAGTCAGGCAAAAATTTTTATAACACGCTAAGTGTGCGAACATTAACTTTGCACATGAATCATTTTATAGTTTACTCTATCTAGAGCATCGACGCGACGTGAAACGTTATTCCTCGTGGCGAAGCGCGCGGAGGCTCCTTAGAAGGAGCAACGTTTACGGATCAGAAGTCGGTCATTTGTTCTACATAATATTCAAATGAGCCGCACCTGCTGCAGCACCGGGTGGCTTAATCCAAATCGAGAGGGAGAGAGATCGATCGCGTCCTCGACTCGCGAGGAGATTCGCCGCGATTATGCGAGACCGTGGCCGATTTATCTCATGGCTTACCATGGAGAACGAGAGAGCCATAAGCGCGGTGCGGGAAATAACTATTACCCTTGACCATGCTGCACGACCGAGGCTATATCCCGTATGCCAATAGTAGTAATGGGCGCACGGTGCATCCATTTGCCTTTTTCATTTCGTCTCGCTTACGGGAACGGCCGCCCGCCAGGGATCGTTTAATGACATTGTATTGCCGGTGCGGCGCGGCGAGACGCAGCATCCAGAATTCAATCGCATTTTTCTTCCAACATCCGATTGCTTGTACTCTACTCGCTCCGTATGGTCGATCGCGCAATTTCGAACATGCACGAAATTGCAACTGGCAAGCGACGATGACGGCGGCGGCGACGTTGTAAGAAATACCCGGCTCGGATGCGCTCGTAAGTCGACGTATAGTACGCGCTTCGGATTCTATTACGGGTGAAATGAAGTCGCGATCCCGTATAACGTTTCGTATTAAATGCAGGTGCCGTCTTGAATTAGATTTTAACAAAAACTTTGATGAGGTAATCGAGAGAACCTTATTTTCGAGAGCAATATTCCGTCCATAAAAGATGATGATATCAGCAAACGGATTGTAAGCGCGATAACAATAGTATATATAATATCCAGTATAATGTTAAAAATGAATTCTATATAATATTAGAAATTATTAAAATTATTAATTCCCCGATATTACATACTCTTTAAATCTTTTGGAGTAAAAGTTGAGCCAGTCTTAAAAAAAGAGAGAAAATTTTTTACTCTTAAGAGAGATTGGCAGATTTTCATTCTTTTAGAATAAGATTTCATTGTTTCGAAAGGAATGGAATCTCACTTTTTTGGTGTGAGGCTTCATTCCTTGGGGTGACTTTCACTCCAAAAGAATGAAATCTCATTCCTAAAGAGTGAAAATTTGTCACTCTTGTGCAAGAGTAAAAATATTTTCATTCTTTTTTTTAAGATTGACTCAATTTTCAGTCTTTTGAAGTGAGATTTCGCTCTAAAAAATTCAGAGAGTATAATAAATTTAAAAGAGAGTTATAATAAATTTTAAAATTCGATCATGTATTTGTGATTTGATATTATCCGATTTTTCAGTTTAATTTTTTTAAAAAGGTAGCATCATGAGCCATTTAACATAAAATCACAATGCAGTGCAGCATGGCACAATAGCAACAGTGTAATAACTTAATAGAATCGATTCCAAGAAGGAGTCGCTTAAAATGACGGTTAACTGATCGCTTACAAGAAGCTATGACCAGAGGCGGCTCTAAAATTAACGAGGTTTCAGGATGGAAAGTGGCTATTGTGCCCTGACGTGAGACCCTTACGCGTGTAAGGCCCTCGCAATAAACCTCGCAGAAAAAAATCGCTTGTTTCAATTTAGCCTAAGGAGAGTATTTATCGCGATCCGCTGAGGTCTTTGCACTAGTAAGGTTAAAGTGTTCGCTTAGTTCGCCCTATGACAAAACTGCCTTTAGCGTATACTGAATAAAATCCTGATTAAGGTACAATTCAATTATTATAAGTAACATCCTATTTATTGATGACAAAAACGTAATCCAGCTTTCAATCACGGGATCACTGAAGACGGATCTGTTTGTATTTTTGACAATTCACTCACCGTTGACAAATCACCATTGCCATCACTCGGATCGATGCGAATTAACACGACAGCCAGAAACGCTTTTATCGGATTGAGAAGCTCCATTGTTGGTCTTAGACGACGAGTCACGTTCTGTTGATGACACGTCTCGATTCCAATCTCATACACTTTTCTCCTCTCATCCTCACTCAGGGACGCGTCGATGTGAAATCGACTAAAACGTCTGAAAGGTCTAGAAAGGTCTTTTCGACAATACAAGAAGGATAGTCCACGTCTCGTCAGAAATCTCGAGAATTAGTACATAATAAAATCCAATAATCATAAGGTGTCCCTCGCTATCGTCCTACATGCAACCGATAATTCCCGCGTCGATCCTCGTGCTGGGTCTGAATCCTTAGCCCGCGAGCCGTTAACTGCGCTCGTTATGTTACAACATTCCTCATGGGGCTGTATAAATCAATATATCTTTTAATCGGTCGAACGACATACCTCCTCTCAATTCACTTGTGTACCTTTAAACCGTTGGAGTGTTATACATATTAGATGGTCGCCGGAAATAACCGAGAATTTAGCGATTAAATATTTTTAACATTTTCTTGCTTCTGCGACTGTTGATGAAATTAAGCTCTGAAAATTTTATCGAGGAATATACCATATACATTTTACGCAAACAAGACGTGATATATTTAAAAGTGCCGAGAACTCTTTTCCATAAATTTCATATGCGCGGCGATGTCTCGGTTATAATACCTTTACATTATTGATAAGCATGCTGTCGACATTTTCGCGTCTTCATCGTTCTACGTTATTTCAGAGCGTCTTTCATTATTGAGAGCTCTATAAACAGTTCGAATATCGAATAGCCATCAGTCGCTTTAAAACCTCATCGCCTCGCAATGAAACGGGAAGAGCAAATTCAATATTTCGTATCGAGCTATCGACGCGATCAGATTATCTCGCCTCTATACTTCAATGCGGCTGGCGAGGTACCTTACGTAACGCCAGATCATTTACATCGGTATTGGAAACCAACGGCGCGGAATATTGCGTCACGGAATCTTCGTATGCATCGACAAATTCGTCGCCGTCTATTCACTCCATCTGGCCTATGTTCGCGCGCGGAATCGATCATGCGTGCGGATCTACCTGCGAAATCGATGCCCTCAAGGCTTTCCAGAAATATCAGCTATACTCAGCTGCGTGGTTGCTTTTTTTATCGATAAAACCACCGCGGATTGCGCGAGATTAACGTGCAAAATTTTGCAAAGTAAGAAGGCTACAGTGACAGAGACTGAGATGTAACTGATGTAGTCGTGGACGTGATGCAGAAAAAAACACATACGTAAGTCATGAAAGGCTATTCTATGGATGCTATTACGTATATTATTTTTCTCTGCCTTACCTTATATCCACGACCAATTACACTGCAAATCCAAGTATGTAATAAGTGTCATACGGAAAGAATAATTTTGCCAAAATATCTAAGTTAGATACAGATCTGAAAATAATTTTGTTGTAATTATATGTAGAAGCTCAAGCTGATTCCTTGAATATCAAAACTTTTTGCAGCATTGCTTAAATTTCCTACATCAATAATGAGATTAATACCTGTATTTATAGTCATGCCTTATATTTAAGGTTTCTTTAAATTTATCTTTAGATGCTCTACGAATTATTTCATTGGCTACTGCAAACATCTAAAGATAATTTAAGGAAGTCTTAAGTACAAGGTCTGACTATAAATACAATCATTAGTTGCACATTTCAGTTGATTTTCAACTTGGTTCCTGCCTCTTATTTCACCAATTCGCGCGCAGCTTAAATGCTGATCGGCATTTCAAGTTGAAAATCGGCCGAAATATGTAAGTAAATCTTAGCACTGTCCTACATAAGCTGCGTTCTACTTAACGCTCATAACGCTCGTGGAATCATTTCATTCTTGTT